GCTTTGGCAATGATGGTCAAAATTTACCAGCTATCATCAGCATACTTTTTCATTGTAGATATAGACTACAGGATGGATGCCAGAGCCCTCCCCTTCCCTCCCTACTCCAAGAATATGTTCTTCAGCAAAATAAGCAGTAATGTGGGAAAGCAAGTTGGCCTGCTTGCAATTTTGAAAGTTTTCAACTGCGCCTAATAAAAAGCTGCATTTGCACAACATGCTATGTACATAATGTAAAGGAAGCTATTCCATTTTATGTTTTCCTGATTGCAGTTATTTAATCAACCTTTCAACTTACTGTGTCATATAATCTGATGCATTTTCAGTTTCCAAAATGCACCATTTGTTAAAATTAAGCTTAGTCCCAATTTCTGGAAATCCAATATGATGGGCTATTTTAACTTCAGTAAGTTCCAAACCATTACGGTGCCTGAAGAGGAAAATGTGGCATCAGCTCAGCTTTTATCCTAGTCTGTCATACAAACATAGCCTTGGAAATTGGTTTCTGTGGCTAAATGAAGCTGAGCTTAGCACAGCATGAGCTGCATTTTTCTCAAGACAGCAGCTCCAAACACCTGCTGTATCTGGTACAGGTAAGACTGATTGGGAAAACTGAAACCCACACATCAAGACGATACCAGCTCTGGTAGACTTTGATTCAGGCCAAAGAAAGATTTTAAAATTTTGGTTTTGTTTTTTCTCTCTTCCAGCAATAGCATCTACAAAACAAGCTTGCGTACATTTCTTAGTAGGCTTCTGGAATGGAAGCACTTTTCTTTTCAGATTGTTCCTTTGTACTTTATACAGGCCGAATGTTTACTCCCCCGTCTTTATACAGTTTAAAGAATTGGAAAGAGCAATTTGCATTGAGCTGCTTGAAAGACGCCACTATTTTGCTCCCTCCCGTTTTCCCTACCAGCCAAGCGGTGCCTTGATAATGTCTGCATTCATTTCAGCTTCCTAGAAAATGCAGACAAAAGAGCAGCTGTTCCCAGAAAGGCCCAGCAGGGAAGTAACAGTCTTACCTCTTGTTTGACAGAACCTCTTCACAAGGAAGTGCAAAGCCTGACTTTCCTAGAAGTCGTATCAAAACTCCGCAGCCACGAGAACAAAACGGTGGCCCAGCAGGCTTCCCTCACAGAGCAGAGACTCGCTGTGGAAAGCTGAGGAAGGGGGCACCGGATCCACATTAGCATCATGTCACTGATCTCACCTCTTGTCCTGTCCTGCTGCTGTTACTCCAGCCATGTTTTTTTCCACTGTCACTAATGCATGCGTGTAGCATCCCCACAATGCACTGTTGTAGGTACCTCTCGCTAAATAAGGTTTCTAAAACACTCACAGCCAGTTGTCATAGGATCCTGTCTTTCTTATCCATACAGCAGACGCATACATGCAATCTGCAGCCTTGTTGTCGTTCTCCTTGTATTCTTGTTGCTTGGGCCACATACTAGAATGTGCATGTTGTAGTCCTATAATAATGTAAAAGTGGTACAACCGTGATGACACCTCCCCTCAGACTCCCTGCTTTCCTCAGTAGAGGCAGCAAGACTGTTGAGATGAGGTTTGAGGGCATACCTCTCTTTTTGCTGCTTTAGAGATGAAAGAGGGAAGAGGAAAAGAAATCTTGCTGCTCATTCACTGGTCTTGCCTACTAATGTCAATCCTGTGGTACCTAGAAATAAAACCAATAAAATCCAGTGCTCTCACACATTTCCCTGTGGTCTGTCTTTGTATCCTGGTTTATTTTCGTGGAGCCTTCAAAAACTAGCTGTATGTTGTGATAAGCTATACCAGTAGAATATGTGCATCCTAAATCATAAGTACTTTTGCCTACTTCTCTTTTTTAGTCCCAAAAAAAGAGACCAAATCTGAGCACCAGAATCTGAACAAATAAAGAAAATACACCATTCTCCTTCTAAAACCTCCATTTAGATTAGATTAGATTGGATTGGATTGGATAGGATAGGATAGGATAGGATAGGATAGGATAGGATAGGATAGGATAGAATAGAATAGAATAGAATAGAATAGAATAGAATTTTTATTGGCCAAGTGTGATTGGACACACAAGGAATTTGTCTTGGTGCATATGCTCTCAGTGTACATAAAAGAAAAATATGTTCATCAAGAATCTTAAGGTACAACACTTAATGATAGTCATAAGGTACAAATAAGCAATCAGGAAACAATATCAATATAAATCATAAGGATACAAGCAACAAAGTTAGTCATAAGTGGAAGGAAATGGGTGGTGGAGATGATAAGATTAATAGTGTAAACATAGTAAATAGTTTGACAGTGTTGAGGGAATTACTGTTCTTGGGTCTAGTTGTTCTGGTGTGCAGTGCTCTACAGCGTCGTTTTGAGGATAGGAGTTGAAATAGTTTATGTGCAGGAAGTGAGGGATCTGTAAATATTTTCACATTTTCTCTTCTTCCCACACCTTGCCCATTTTGCTCTTCTTCATAAATGCAGAGCACTGGGGATCGTAGGCACGCTTTTGAAATGAGGCTGAAGTCTTCCAGTTGCCCATTGCTTTAATTCACTTTGGACTAGCTTAAGCAATAGCCACTTGGTTTGAGTGCTGCAGCAATTTAGGATGGGGTTAAAGCAACTTTAAATGAAGCTTTAAGTCACAAAAATTCTAGACCTGCTGTCCCCCATCCTTGCTTTCATTTGGTGAGGTTAGTAATGTTTTCTAATCAAAGCATTTTTGCCAGTGTGCTCTTAAAATATGCAAGATTGGTTTCACATGCAGGATTCTGCAAGCCTCAAATTATATAATCATCCTGACACTTTGGTTAGAAAGCCAGCTACAAGAGGGAGCAGGAATTGAGTCAGTAATAATGTGTAGCTGTTAGAGTATTTGTTAGTATGAACATGCTAAATTAAACTAAAACCGAGATTAAGAGGCAGAGCATTTAATTTAATTTAATTTAAACATATTTATCCCAGATCTTGCAAAAAGGAGGCATGCCAAGTCAGTAGGCTTTATCTAAATATAATTAATTGCTTTTTTAACCTATGCAAGAGCTTTTTTCAATCATATATAAAATGGTGGGGCAACTTCCACTAACTTTCTTCTCCTCAATCTCTTTGATTCGACAGAGAAACTATAAGAATATACATTCACAATTTCAAAATCTGAAACCTGACCAGGTATTCTTTTCTGAAATGCTTTTAAAATGTTAGGGATTTATGGAAGAATGAGGAACAATTATATTTTCCTAAACTGCTTTAATTCTGTACCAAGGATTACTCAATTCTTCAAGTTATCTGGTTTACAAGTTTTCAATAGACATATACAGTAAAACCTGTGAGAGTTGACTACCCAAGGGACTGAAGGAAAGTGGTCAAAATACAGAACAACTGTACTAATATGTACATGTGCATCAATTTGTTGTCAGCTTTTATTAGGGAATGACCTACAGAAACACAGTGAAAACACAGGAAAATTATTCATATAATATTGTATCATACAAAATCAATACATTTGTATATGTATTTTCTCATGGTTTAATCTTTCTGAAAAAGACTGTTTTAGACTATTATTCTTGTTATGAAGGTAAGCAGAGAAAGCACTCTCAACACTGGCTATACCACTCAGCATACCTGGGCATTTTCCCATGGCAAATGACTGTAACTGCATTATCAAATGACTGACAGCCTCTTCTTTTAGAATATCTGCAATTTCTGTGTCCTCCTCACTTAATTCTTCTGCATCATCAGTTGCTCCAGCACTTTTCCGCTGGGTTGTACCTTGGTCAATATTGATTGGAAAATTGTTTCTGGGTCAGGGTTAGGGGTCAGGCCAGGGTTAGGATTTTGCTTCTGCAGATGGACTATAGGTTTGCATTTTAGCAATGACTCACTGCAGAAGCTGGGCTCGGCACTGCATTTTGAATGTTTTTATTATGCCTTGGTCGAGAGGTTGAATTTTTGATAGAGTGTTTGAAGGCAAAAATTTCAGTTTCACCTTTGTGAGATGATTCACCTGGGCATGGCTAGGACAATTGTCCACTACAAGGAAAATGGACCATTTTTTATTTCTCAATCAATACCTCTTATCCACTCCTCAAATGGGGCACCAGTCATCCATTCAGATTTGTTAGATTTCCAGGTGATGGAAAGGTCTTTGGACTGCAGGTTCTTGAATGAGTGTGGCTTTTCTGATTTGCCAATCACCAAAGCTTTTAGCTTTTCTCCGGTTAAGCTAGCGCACAGAACTATGAGACATTCTTTAGAAAGCTTTCCACTCTTACATTTGTCATCCCTCATAACAAGGCTCCTGTCAGGTATCGCTTTGAAAGAGTCCATACCTGTCAGCGTTAATGATGTTGTCATCTTTACTGCCGAATCAGTCAAAAAAAAATTATTCTTTGATGTTCTTCTTGAAAGTCATTGCTACCAATTCTGCATTTCACTTTTCTTGCCCTTGGTACAGACTGAACTCAACTGGTCAAGTTATAGACTAGAGAGTAAATGAATACCATGTGTCAAGGTCCAGGTGGTCAATATAGAGAGGTTGGCTTTCTATTGTGTACATATAGTGTACGTCTGGTCTATGAAAATTAGGTCAATTTAGGGAGGTCAATATAGGGGGGTGATCAAATATTGAGGTTCTATACTTTCTTTTGCCTATTTATACATTCAATACCTCAACAAGCAAGTGATCTGGCATCTGCCAAATGTTTTGAACTTCAATTCTGGTAGGTTTCAACCAACAAAGGAACCAACCAAGATTTCTGGGAATTCTGACTCAAAGATCTAATGGAATATATTTCTAATTATTGCAATGAAAACAAAGATTCTTGGATCTAAGTTATGTGACTTTTTCTTTACAAGGAGCTTTTATGACACAAAGGAGCTCATCAGAGATTCATTAATCACGAATGCAGTATTTTATCACATTCCATCTCAGCATCTGTTTATTTTCCCACAAACCCAGTGAAATCTTTAAGTTGAACTTTTATATATGTGAGAACAAGGAACAGAGCCAAAGTGTCACTCCATTTTATTTGTAAAACTAATCATACTAACAAATTGCATATAAAATGATTTATTTCAAGTAAAATACAGAATACTGCACAACTAGTAAAACTATGTTCATAAATGTATTAAAACATTCTGAAAATTTGCTTCTATTTAAAAAAAAAGACAAAGAGCATGATGTATCTCACTTTCAATACCTTAAAAACTAACACAAAATAATTGTGTTAATTTCATGTAAAAGTTCAGTTTTTGTCCACTGAAAGCTGTATGGCTACCGTAGAACACATTATAGTGTGTAATAAATGATAAATTAGATAAAATATATCCACTTTGAGAACAAATAGGAGCATGTGGGAGTGAGATGACAAAATCTCAGTCAAGCTGTACAGTCATGCACTTTCCTTGTAACAATACTTTCCATTATCAGTAAGTGTAATTGGCATTTACAATCAATTCAGCAATGTACAAGATTTTCCACACAGGTAAAGTACATTCAAATACAGTAAAAATGGCAGGGGGAACCACAATGGTAACTACAGTCATTGCCTTCATCAGGACATGCAATGGTTTAGAAGAAAAGGTTGGCAGTTAATACAGCATATCTAAACCTGACTCAAGTTAGAAAGCCCCATATCCAATTTTCTGAAAATAAACAGAAATACTTGTTCCAGGTAGACTTCTGCTAGGCACTGCAGTTCTAACTTTTATGGTCAGTTACATGCTGAATGAAATTTCTAATCAGGGTACCTCTGGGAATGTTGGAAAGGAATTCTGGGAATTTAAAGACCAAGGCAACTTGCTGGGGAGGGCTGTTTTATATTTTTATCTAGACTGATTTCATAAGACCAATTCTGAGATTTAAATTATGTTTCCGAGGCAGGCCTTTCTGCATTTCTTGCTCTATCACTGCACAAATAAGCTACACTAACATTTCCATTCTGACAAAGTGAGTCTGGGATATCCTGTACAATGCTTAAGGATGCATGTTCTCTTTCTGTGTTATATGCAATTAACAGAGAGGCATAAAACAAGAAAGCACAGTTATACAAGACTAAGGGGCACCAGCATATACATGCTGAAAAATCCATGTATTTTTATCCTTTATGTAACCTTACAGTGTTGAAAAAAAGAGCACAGAAATAAGAACAGCATCTTCAACGGATTAAATTTCTGTAGAGAACCTAAAATTTTCCTGTAATGTTCAGGAGACAATACCTCAAGTCTACAGTCCAGCCATAGATGTTCATCTAATATAACCCCATTGGGAATAAACATGTAAAATGGGCTGTTTCCCAATCTTTTTTCAGGCATAATACCTCATTCTTCCTTTAGATTGTGTCAAGTTCAAGAATTAGTCTTCCAAATGAAAATGGAGGATACAATTTCTGTAGAGTAAGTCCATTAAAAAATTCATTGGTATTTAAAAAAAGAAGTGGGCTGCAGAAGAAAAATACGGGCAGGATTGTGGAATAAAGGTAAGTTTGCCTTAAAATACAGCTGCCCTTCGAAAAGATGGTGTGACATTTTTTACCTGTCTCCATAAATCAAACAAGTTGCCTTCCCTGTGACCTCAGTCATAAAATGCACGCACAACAAGAGTTTTGTGCCAAAATAAGATAAGGCAGGTGTGTGTAAACACTAAAAATGTACTCTACTGACACTTTACCATAAAAGACTAGGGAGAACTATAATTTATCTACAAACATCAATAGTTGACACTGAACCACTGAAGAAACTGAAATAGCATATCGAGAAATCTGCATCCACAACATAAGACTTGAAAAACTCGCTAGCAAACGTTTTGGGCTCTTACGGAACTAAGTATCATCAATGGGAAAAATAAAAGGCACACAATACAGCAACTCCAGCAAAATCTCACGTGGTCCAAGATGAGCCCATGGCTAGGCAGATATAAAATGTTAGGCCTCCACTGTTTGAAAACTGAATCTCTCCCTGCTGAACAAGATTATTGAAGGGGCAGAAATAGAGTAAAAACACAACTGGGGTAAATTGCCATTCTATGTTTCTCAGGAAAGCAGCCGTAGTGAAAAGCTAAAGTATGGGAACAGGATACATGGATATGTAGTCAGTTCAGCACAAAAACAGCAAGCTTACTGAGCCATCCAATATGTTTTCTCAAGTGTATCACTAAGCAAGCAATTTAAGAGGAGATATACCCTGAATATCCTCATTCACATGTCCTTTTTTGATAATGGTGACTCGTTAAGATTTTTTTTTTTACTTTTGTTACTGATTAAGAACAGAAATCACTGCATTTGTACCAGTTTACAGTTATATTCATTGCAAAAAAAAAAATAATAGTTAACATGTAAATATTCAAAGCTGCTGAATTAAAAGTAACAATAATTAAACAATTCTTAATTTATTAAATTGCAGAAGTGCCCAGCAAACACTAGATGGCAGGCTATTAAAGCAGTTTAGGTTTCAACCAATAGCTATGCGAAAGTTTTTTTTTAAATGGATGGGATTATTCCATTTTTCTCAAAATAAATACATATTAATATGTGTAAACCTATGCAGGAATGATTCCACAGACATGCTATTATTTACATTTCCGAGATGTACACACCACTATATAACAACTATCTAATAGAATTGGCTCGAAGATGATAACAAAGCAAATGGATTTCCAGAGATTCAGACCAGAAGACATAAAACAGGAGTTAGAACATTTCAACCAAGGTGGATTTGGCAACACAAGACAGACACGTGCGTTTCTTTAGCAAAAAGCTTAGATCAATAATAAAAACCAAAATAGTCAACCATTTTTCAGAAAAAAAGATTTACAGAATTTTCTAGCAAAGTTGTTTCTGTAACATAGGACTAAGCCATTACTATACAAATTTCATGATGTGATATATAGGGAGATCTAGCAGCAAGCAAACACATTGATACAGAAATTCTTTAAAACAATCTATAACATATGTGCAATTTGTTAGGCAGGCATGAAGCACAAACTTGCTTGACGTGTGTACTGGTATCATTTGAAGGGGTTCTTTTGACTCTTTTTTCCTGTCAATAACTACAGTACTATTTAGTACAATTATTCTAAAAATATGGAAAGAAAAGACATGAACAACAGCTACAAACTTTAACTTCTTAACACTTGAGCATTAACATTCAACATTAAGCATTTACATCCAAACTGACACATACCAAAACTTTGCAAAGTCCACTCTTCATTCCCAAATACTTGCATGGTTCTGGTTGCAGGAAACTCCTCTAAATTTCTTCTCCCCACTCTAATAAGCATCTGAAAACTCTACTATCATTTGATGGTGAATTCTCTTGCTCTTTAAAAAAAAATCCTTTCAAAGATGAAAAGGGGCACCTGAAAACACGAATAGTATACATCTATTTAGCGCAGGGGTGTCCAACCTTGGCAACTTTTAAGATTTTTAAGATCTGTGGACTTCAACTCCTAGAATTCCCCAGCCAGCCATGTTGGCTGGGAAATTTTTGGAATTGAAGTCCACAAGTCTTAAAATTACCAAGTTGGATACCTCCCGTTTAATGGCAATGGCTGTTGCTCTTATTCCAGTTTGTTGATTTCTCCATCACTCACTATTTTATAGTATGTCCTTTTTGAGACCAGCTTATTGGAATTGAGAAATCAAACTATAACCCAAATTTACCAATATATCACGTTTTATGGTGGAGCTTGGTCAGCAAATTCCCTCTGGCAAACACACTTATTATATGTGCTGCCTTTTCCTTATGACATTTAATATGAATTTGCAAAGAAAGCTACAAAATACAGGTAGTCCTCAAGGTACGACAGGCCATTTATTTGTCTGTTTGTAAATTTTATTGGCCGCCCATCTCAGCTTTGGGTGGCTTACAATCTTAAAAAAATAAAAACTATACAAAACCTAAAAGACATAGTAAATAAAATACAGTAAAGATCCAATTGCTGAGCCCAATTAAAAGATCATTCGTTTAATAAATGTTCACAGCCCTCTCCCCCTCCAAAAGGCTACACATGAGCCCATGTCAAAGTTACAAGGATTGCAGCAGCCCTCCAATCATTCACCTTGAATGACCCACCGCAGGGGCCCTGCAGCACCCTGCCATCTCTCTCTCCTCCCACCCCACCCCACAGTGCTTGGGCTTACATGCCCCACACTTATTGTATCTTCTGGAGGTCTCCAGAGCTCACGTTGTGAAAGGAAGACACAACCGACCGCGTGGCAGCAATCCAAATTGTGGCCGGGGTCAAAACGGCAGCCGCCAGACAAATGGCTTCATTTTGCTGTCTTAACCAGGTCTGCACAGTGCTGTGTAAGCTTCTGAACACTTTAGAAAGCTTCCACAGCGTTCTGCAGACCCTCTTAAGGCAGCAGAACAAAGCACTTTGTCTTTGGGCCACGCAGTGGTGCCCCAAATATGACTTGCCGTTTTGTCTTCGCCCATTTGTAGGTGGAGACAAAATGGCAGCTGCCAGACAAATCGCTTCATTTCGCTGCCCTAAGAGAGGTTTGCATTGCAGAAGCTTCTGAATGTTATAGAAAGCTTCCACTGCATGGTGTAGGCCAGTGATGGCTAATCTTTTCAGCACCGAGTGCCAAAACTGGAGCGTGCGCATATGCGTGCGTGCATGTGTTGGAGCAACGGAACTCAGAAGAGAGCAGCTGGCCAGTGTGCATGTGTGCGGTGGCCAGCTGCTCTTTTGGGTTCCGTCACATGCATGTGCACTGGTCAACTGGTCTGGCATGCATGCTGCTCTCTTCCAGGTTCCTGTGCGCGCATGCGCACCGGACAGGTCTGGCCAGCGCGCATGTACATGCCTGAAGCCGGAAGAGAGCAGCTGGCCAGGGTGCATGCATGAGACAAAACTCAAGAGCAGCTGGCGACAGCGCGCATGCCCAGAGAGTGAGCTCTGCGTGCCACCTTTGGCACGCATGCCATAGGTTTACCATCACGGGTGTAGGCCTTGTTAAGGCAACAAAAAGAAGCAGTTTGTCCCCAGACCCTGCAGGGGGTGACCCAAATGTGGCTGCCACTTTGGGGGATAGGAGAAAATGATAACAGCTTTCGCAACCGAGTCACGTGGCCGTGCAAAAGAAGATAGTCATTTCAGTCCTCTGGAAGGCCTTGTAGTTCTTCAAAAGGTTAAGTGGCCTGGGAGGACTCAGTGGAAATGAGAAAAGGCCTCTTGGGACCCAAAACATGGGAAGTGGAGCATGGGGCATCTTGGGAGTGAGGGAGGCCTTGGGAGGGCCACAGCAGGTAGGCCTGGGCCTGTGCTAGGCCTCCAAAGGCTTCCCCCATCCAGGAGGCACCCCACTCCACTTAAAGACCCACACATTCATTTAATAATTCACTGGGGAAAAGCAGGGATGGGGTCATTAGAAGAGACGTTTCACCTAACGACTGCCAAGACATGCAACTGTAATGGGCAGGCAACTGTCATATTTTGAGGACTACCTATAGCAGTGATGGCTAACCTTTTTGCCATCAAGTGCCAAAAGCAGGTGTAAGCACTGGGGGGGGGACAGTCATGTGCACGCGTGCCCACACCCATAATTCTATGTGCCCCCCCGCATGTGCACGCAACCCCCCCACACTCCCCCCACTTTTGGCATGCGATGGCACGGTGGGCCACTGGACTTCTGGTGGACCATAAATCGGGAAGCGGGCTGTTTCCGGCCTCCGGAGGGCCTTCTGGGGGGTGGGGAAGGCTGTTTTCATCCTCCCCAGGCTCCTAGAAAGCCTCTGGAGCCTGGGGAGAGTGAAAAACGGGCCTTCCTCAACCTCCGGAGGCCAGAAACAGCGTTTTTCCCAACTTCTGGTGGGCCCAGAAGGCCTGAAAATCAGTTTGCCAATGTACACATGTGCATCGGAGCTCAGCTCACGTGCCCACCAATATGGCTCTGTGTGCCACCTGTGGCACATGTGCCATAAGTTCACCATCACGGACCTGTAGTATTTCAACACGCTGTATAGACATATAATTGGCACCTATTTTATGACTTCAAAAAACTTCACCTTACAAAGACTGTAGCTTTACATTAGTTAGGGCTGTTAGGTTAGAAGTGTGTAAAACATTTCTAATTCAAAATATTTTAAGCTAAAAAACTTTGCTTAGTCAGGAAGTTTCATGCTTGAAACAGGGTCATTTCCAGCTCTAAACCTTTTTGGTAAAATCATAATAATCTGTCACTATCTCTAAACATTTCACCTTCAAACTGTTTTCCGTTACCTTTTCGAATGAGCATTTGTTATTAGAAAGTTATTTGAAAACTCTCTCAAGCTCACCCTTGTTTTAAAAGCAAATGTGGGATTCTGGAAGAAATATGTGAATTTTAATCATGCATAGGCAAATAGAAGGCAAATACATATCCGATAATTAAAATTACATTAGCTATTTGCATCGAGGAACACGACCAAGACAAAGTAAGGAGGGAAGTAGTTTAAAAAAATAAGAGATCCTGATTTCCTGCAGGACTCCAAGAAATAAACATGCTTTGTATGCAAACAAAATGATTGCCATTTTTCTCTCTATATAAAAATGTTATTAAGCTTATTCACCACTGGGACCAAGAAGACAACCTCTTAATGCTGTACAGTCAGTAAGATATTTCAACATATTTTACCAAAAGATAGAATGATATGCCTAACCACATAGCTTTGTTTCATTAATAAGAAAACCTTATCACTCTAATATGATGGTCTACCATCTACAAGTTATAAAACAGATTGGTAATGGAAGAAAAAAAAATAACAGGAAAAGAAAAATGGAAAACAAGTTAAACATCTATAGCATTATTATACCTAAGCAGAAACATGGAAATTTTTCAGAAATGTACAACAGCAGCAAAAAGAAGGAATGTTTATTCAGTACATCTTACATCAGCATCTTTTATGTTTGGTTTCTGGAATGTACTACAACTAAGCTATTCAAGTACTAGAGATTCATAAGAATTCATTCAATTTTCATCCACTGTATGTTTTATTCTGCATTGTTTGTTTCCTTCAGTTAAGCAATTCACCAACTAAAAACTAAGAGAATCTATTCACTGAAGACTGACACAAATATAACTTGCAGAGCTCTGCATGTGTAAATGAACCTCAGTTACCCATTCTGGAAGCCTGATCAGAACTCAGTTACCTAGACAAAAGGTTGCGTGAAGTCATACCAGATGCAGTTAGAATGTTTAGCCCTGTGTACAAAACTGGAGTGTTGAACAAGACATTAATGGATTTACTTGTTTAACTTCTCAAATTAGGGCAACATTCCTCCACCTGGTACCTATCAATGCTAGCTGTGAATTCTTGGAGTTGTATCCCTAACAATTCTGGTGACACCAGGTTGGGGAAGTTAATGTTTTTAAACAGCTACTGTTCTACTTCATTTAGCAATAGTTTTCAGTCACTGCCAAATTTGAAAGGATTGTCATCTCTCCACTGCCAAATTCATATCCTTGACAGCCAAATTCAGTTTGTTTTTCACAGAAGCAGCAGAATTTTCTTTCCCACTGTACTTAAATATACATAAACACCTAAAACAGAGGTGTCCAACCTTGGCAATTTCCAAACTTGTGGGCTTCAACTCCCAGAATTCCCCAGCCAGAACTGGATGGGAAGTCCACAACTCGTGAAGTTGCCAAGATTGAACAGCCCGGATAAAAAACCTAGATGCTCATATGTTTACTGAAACTGGCTCACAGTGCTCTCATTGAAATACACAAGCACGCACACTATTGGTGTTCAAATGTTGCTCCTGCTTGAAAAATGAGGGAGAGATACCTATTTCATTAAGGATTCTACTTTTAACTAGACAGAAAAGGAAATGCAATGGCAACTAAATGGTAACGAAGCCAGCACAAAACACAAACCAAAGAATGCAAATTGGTCAGCATTTCATTCACGTTTGTTTGAACTGGAAGCCCACTCAAATCAAGCAAATCAAAAAGGCGTAGCAATTTTAAAAAGTTTATACCAACTCTATGAAGAGGGCTTAAGAAGAAGATATATTTAGGAAGGGTTATAATGTGACAAAAAGCATTTGCCCTACTACATGAAGATATCAAAAATTATTCCAAACAGATTTGTTTCTTTACAATTCATTTTATCCATGAAACTGAATACACTGTGCTTGTTTCTGCTTCTGAGTTCATCGCATTCATCTTATCATCAAACCACCCAGCATGAATACCTTCATCTCTTCATTTACATATTGCTAGGGACTAGTACAGATGGAGAATTATCTCTGTTTTAGGTCTTTCCTGAAGTTTGCTGATTCCACAGTCCAATGAAATAAAGATCGCAAGAGGTTGGAAAGTAATTAAAGCTGTTGTTATTCGACAGAGGACGTAATAAAACAAGAGACTGAATTTCCTGTGGAAGAGTGATGATGTTTGTTTGTTTTTTTTGCCAGAAAACAAAGCATATGAGAAGTAGATAAGTAAGTTGCCTCTTCGTGGGATTTCTTTCCAAAGAAACATTAGGTCTCTTGGTCACTTCTTTAATGGCAAGAGGAAATTGCCTCATTGAGGGTCTACTGCAACTCATAAAACAAAAGGATGCATCTACCGAGGTTCCATTGACACAGACCACTTGCCACACACACACACACACACACACACGAAACGGAAGAAATATCCTCCAGTTTACTCAGTCAAGGATACAGTAGAGATTCATGGCTCAGTACATTTTAGACTGGTGGTTTTAATAGCATTCATCACAACTAGGTGGCTGGAGCTGCTCGTTCTGGAATAAACAAAGGTGTGATGCTGTTCTAATCAGTTGAGAACTGAAAACTTCTCTGTTCCCCATTTTCACAAGGGTTTGTCTCGATGTGGGCCACATAGAGCCTTCTGAGAACTGTGGTTACCCACAAGGTCTTGCGTAGCTTACGTTAAAGAGTTTTACCAGCTGGCTCGGACAGCTTCAATATCACTAACCAAGTTTTGAGCCAAGCATATGCCAAATATCTGGAAGAAAAGAAAGGCACACGTTAAGTTGGAACTGGCTTTCAAATGCAGAAATTTGAGTTAGCCAGACTGTCCCCACAAAATTTAACACAACAGCTACCATTTACACATTAAAGTTGAAATGGTTTTCCCTTGTTAAGCATGTTTCACTCAGGTTTTCTGGGACACATGACACACTTGGCCACAAATTAACAGTAGTGGCTGGGTGTACACAACACGCTGGCCTCAAATATTGTATGGCTGGCCAGTTTGCAGTTGAGTATACTATGCAAATACAATCACATTTACTGTGAAATATTAAGTATTCCAGCATGTAATAATTGGAGGGAGGGAAAAACAGTCTTTAATATGTGAGGGGAATGTACACCGTATCAGAATTGTCCTGGGAACAGCAGCTCTGAAAATGCAGGTGTAGGTGATATTTCTAAGTTTTTAAAATTAAGTTTTATAGTTAAGTTTTAAGAAAAGAGGTTAAATTTCAACAACACAGGTTTTAAACAACATACCTGGAGCAAAAGATTTTCCTACTGCTATGAATAAGAATAGGATACCCAAGTTGAGACTACTTACTTAAGTTAAAAGGACACCTAATTGGTCTTTCAGCTGGCTCTGGAAGTCTACTAGAGAAACAGCCTCATTATGTTTAGGTGATCAAAAAGCAAAGCAGCATCAGTTCCATCATAATTTGCAGCAAAATATTTATAATTTATTCTGCATTATCCAAGTTGACTACAAGGCTGAAATTAACGAGACCCAAATGTACTTTCTTTTTTTTCCCCAAAAAATTAATAAATCGATACACAGAGATTCAATTTTCATTTCACTCTATGGGGTCTTTCTTGAGGATGGATTACACTCTGCAGTTTTTCAAAAGAACAGGTCACCTGTAATAATGCAATTCCAATGAATATGCCGGCCACTATGGTTAAGTTATCCTGCAGCCATTTTTCAAACTGTGGGACGCAACCTTTTGTGTAAATAACAATCTGTTGATCAACTTCCTGCAAGAACAATAATAAAAAACATTGAACATCTTTCTAGCACTTCTTTCCCATTTCCTCTCCAAAAAGAAGTTTTGAAAACTTACTGGTTTTTGGCGGGCATCATAACCACACTGAGTATTAATGACATCTTCCTAAAAAATAAAGATACAGAAACAATTTCCAATAAATGTCTCCTTTTATTCAACAAAAAGTCTATCTCCAACACATGACCTTGCCTAGTTACTCCTAATTGGAACTAGAAACTCTGCCGCTTAGTATCACCATTGGAAAACATGATGTCATACAACTATGCCAACTTACAATGGCAGTTGCAACAATGCCAGTTACCATTGGTATGTGAATTCCACACAGTCTCCGAAGTTCAAAAAGATAGATAAAAATATGTTTCTTGCCATATGTTTCTTTTATGGGCTTTAAATATGAAAACTAGGCATTCAAAATTAACTTTTTTAACAGATCTCACAATAAAAATCACATGCATTCTTCTCCATTCCAGAAGGGAGGGCCATGTTTGTCTGCCACAGCACTGCAAAAAAAAAACACCTTTGTGACACCTTAAAAGCTAATATATTTATGGTGGCACTAGCCTATTGTAAGAACAATCCCATTGTGACCGATGGTCCTTTCAGGATGGAAGAGTAGCCTTGCCGGCCTTCTGTAGTGACTTACAGCAGGATCTTTAGTGCAGCAAGAGAAAGGTACTCCACACCGTTCTCGACTAGCATTGGAGTCTGTGCAGTTGAAGTAAATGTTGAGGTTCCAGTCATCAGCCCCAAAGGCCCCACAGCACTGCCACTAGGAGGGGCAAAAAGACAGAGGCATCACAGTTCTGGCAACATGGGCTAGGCACGGCTATTCTTCTAAGCTACCATTCCAAATCACTCTGTGAATTTATTTTGTACTGGAAATGCATGAAAAAAGTTTTCAAGTCTTTACTGTAGTGCTAGTTCCCCTATAACGGGTGTCAAACTCACGGCGTCACATGACGCATCACGACTTTTTTCCCCTTCGCTAAACTGGGCATGGCCAGCATGTGACGCATCCAGCCCGCGGGCCGTGAGTTTGACAGCCCTATCCTATAACTGGGAATGGAAAAAAAAAAACCCAAGGCACTGCATCTCCTACAATGCTCCAAACAGATAGGATTTCCCCCCACCCCCTTAATCAGTGCTTTTGTTTAACCAAATCTTTTGGAAAGTAGAAAAAAATCTATCCCCCTTTGTGGCAAAACATCACACATTATCAATATGCAATATAGAGAGAATAATTAAAATTCCAAGACAAATTCCTTGTGTGTCCAATCACACTTGGCCAATAAAAAAAAACTATTCTAAAATGTGAAATCAGTTATTTAAGGCAACTTGTAGGTGGTGCTGATTTTGTGGGCCCTAGGCTTGAAATAAGACTTCAGATAGGATCCTCTCAAATCACCTTTGCTGTGCATATTAGAAAAGCTTGTTCAAACTTTTCTGGAAATCCGTTCATACTCCCGCACCATTCAATGGCACATCTTGTTCAAGCTTCTTCTTCAGGGAGAAAAAGATTAACTCAGTCACAGTAGCTAAATAGCTATATAACTTCACTTATCCAAAACAGATTGTTTATTATTGTATGTTGGACGATTCAGCTTATTTTCCAGAGAGCTTCAGCAACAGGCTTATTATGCCTTCTAACTCTAGCTGAACACAAAAGCTATGGCCACAAGATTTGTTTAAAATGTTGCCCATTTCCTCCAATTATAAGAAAAACCATGTGAACCCATTTGCTATGAAATTTGCAAAATATTTCTCAATAAATACTGCTGATTTTTACATTAGCGATATTACAATAGTTCAATGAGAAACATGCCTACAATCGCCCTGAAAATGTTTTCAGAAAAACCTTTCAGAAATAAACAGATAAGAAATGAAACACAAACAGTACAATGGGGAAAACTTCGTAAGCCAAGCTGTGCTTGACTTGTAGTGGCTTCGTAGATAGTTTCATATACTTTTCTTAACAACAAATATGGTCATTGCCTTCTTCTAAGCATAGCCTATATTCTAATCTACAACTCTGTATTTACTGAGGATACTTCATACAACTACTATACTGGTCTGACTTTCTTTGCCTGTCTAAAATCAGCAAGGTTAATGTTGCCACTGGCTGCAGATGTATAGCAAGAGTCACAGTCAAAGTGGGATATTTTCCCTTGTACCAGAGTTGGCAGATCTGTGGTTCACTTGTTATATATATTAATTAATTTATTTTTTATTTATCAAACTCATATGCCACTCATCTCGGTATCCAAACACCTAAGGACAGCATTATCAATGGCCCACCAGATATTGCAGAATCACAATTCCTCGTATTTCCTATCTAAATGAATAAAAATGATGGATGCTTGGGATTGTAGGATCCTACAATGTAGGAACCAGCCCTGTAGGTTCCACAGTCAGATCTTAAAGAAAGAAGGAGCTCTTACATATTCTTGGGTAAAGTCTATGAGATTTTGCAAATCAATGTCATCTCTGTATGCTCGGATATTGTTGTTGATAAAGAAATACAGCTGGTCTTTGATCCAGTCTTTGAAAACAAATGCCAGAACTCCGGCTGTGAGTTCCAGGAAGAAGATTATTCCAAGGAAGACTGAGAACTGCAAAGAAGTAAAATAATTTATTGGCTTCAATAAAACCTTCAGAATGAATGCAATACCAAAGAATTACATGGATAAAAACTGATAATATTGCAGCTATTTATACTCATTTTATGGCTCATTTGTTTTCAAACAACCAATGACCAACGAGCCTGTTTTACAGCAATATATTCATCTGAACCATGAGTGGCCAACTGCAGCCTTTAGTATCGCAGAGAACCAGACATCTTCTCAAGTGGCAATAGATTAGCAGGAAAATGGACTGTTAATGTCCTGCAGCCAATTAATGGCAGAAAACTAACCAATCCAGATACTTGTTTGACCAATTGGTTGATATGAGCCAGACCGAGATCTTTCTGCTGCCGATAAGTCATTATTGCTTTTTAAGTTATCTATCAAATTTATACTCCCTGTAATTGTCAGGGAGACCACCAATGACTAAAATAAACATTTACATCTCAGAACTGATGCTGAAACATTCCAAGATTCAAGATTGTAAAGCATGAACAGAGCATGCAAAATTAATTGGAACTATAGGCAAAGGTTCTATCTTCTCAGTGCCTCAGCATGTCATAATATTTATTTATTCAGGGTTATTTGTATGTCACTTCTTATAACAATAAATTACCATATTTTTCACACTATAAGATGCTCCGGACTAAAAGACGCACTTAGCTTTTGGGGAAGAAAACAAGGGGAAAAAAATCTGCCTCTGCCTCCCAGCAATTTGCCTCCTTGCAGCAAATAGTAAACAGCCTGGTCAGCTTCAGCACAGCCTGATTTAGCACGAGCACCTGATTAGTGATTAGATTGGCCTCCCGGAATATCGCCGATCAGCTGTTCCAGGCTGTGGGGATCGCTGCTGCCCACCGCTGCCACTGCCTATCACCGCCTCAGCAAACCCTATTTTCAACCTCCGTGCGCCCCATTTTCGGCCCATTCAGCAGCGATAGGCGGCAATCCCCACTGCCTGGAATGGGCCGAAAACGGGATGCATGGAGGCCAAAAATGTGGCATGCGGAGGCAGCAATGGGCTGACCAGCTGTTTGCTGCAAGGAGGCAATTTGCTGGGAGGCAGAGGCCGAAGGGTGGAGACTGGCGGGTGGGCAGGGTTTCAGCAACATTCGCTCTATAAGGTGCATAGACATTTCCACCCACTTTTTTGGGGGGAGGGGAAGTGTGTCTTATAGACCGAAAAATACGGTACCTAAAATAAAGGCTAAATAGTAAGATTTAAAGAAAGAATTATCAGTGGTTCCATTTAAAGAAGAACTTATCAGAAATTCCACTCAGCATTAAGCTAGGGAGGCAAGATCATTCCATTATTTTACTTAGGTTTAAACATCCCATCCAAGTTGAACACCTGAGCTGGACTTTAAGGTGCTTTTTAAAAAGATAAGCATTTCCAAAAAAGCTTGAAGCAAATTTTTAAACAAAGTAAAATGATATATATTTGTACAGGGGAGGGAAGTTTATTCTCTAAAGAGGAATTTGATACAGTTACTTACAAACTTGAGAAGAAAGGTATTTTCCCGTAGAGCACCGATGCATCCTGCAAAACCCAATATGAACATCACTCCTCCAACCACAAGGAAGAGCCAAACTGGATCAAAGCCACCCAGGTCAGTAATGGAAGAGATGTTGGACAGGACTCCCTTTGGCAGTGAATGTAAAAGGAAGAAGAGGTGAGAGAGTGGGAAAACAAGGAATACAAATATATCACAGATGTATCCGGGTTTTTACTGTCACTACCCCTTCCCTTTCAAGGAAAGAATGAAGGAGCCACACTAGCATTTGGCATTTCTGTCCAGGAGAGATTAATAACATTTTGTACAAACATTCTGATTATTTCCTGTAAATTCTTTCTGTGTTGACATATATTAGTCTACCATTGCAATCAGGCCCACAGCCATATCCCTTTGTGAAAAAGTCATGACATATCATTTAGCACAAATGACATTCTGCCCAAAATGGTTTGTTGAAAAGGTTAGAAAAGCAATAATGGAGGAGAGAAACGAAGAATGGTACAAGCAAGGCTAATTTTTAGATGTTCAGCCTGCCCTTTTATCTGCTAATTACATTCAAGTATGCCCATAGACATTACTAAATCCCAATAAAATATTAATCTTCTGAAATACTGAAAAATGAAATAGTTTATCCTTTCAAAACAGACTTCCATAACATGAAAGAAGGAATATTTTTCTCTCTCTCATTATTACATTACACACACCAGAAGAGAACCAGGATATGCAGTATCTGATAAACAGTCCCATCTGTAGTACTGTATTAATATTAACACAGGAGACATTATCTATCTATTCTACATCCTCAGCAAGACAGGAGACATTATCTATCCACATCCTGTGACCCAACCTAATGCAGGAAAACATGCAAGTAATATTTAATGACTGCCTTTATTTAATTTTCCTGGCATTCTAGGAATAAAAGTTGATATTAGAGGCTGAAAGTTGGATTGTCACACACTGAACATTTTAATATTCAGGAATATTAAACTACATTCCAAACAAGAGCTCTGGTGGTTACTTCTGCCAGCAGTTCAGCAGTTCAATCCTCACCGGCTCAAGGTTGACTCAGCCTTCCATTCTTCTGAGGTCAGTAAAATGGGGACCCAGATTGTTGGGGGCAATATTCTGACTATATAAATCGCTTAGAGAGGGCTGTAAAGCACTGTGAAGCAGTATATAAGCCTCAGTGCTATTACTATTTGGATATCTATGAAAATCTTTGATCTATTGCATCTAAATAATTATACAATCATATGTTTTTGGAAACACGCTTCTAGGCCAGATGATAAAATATGACACATGATATGAAATGTGCCAATTCTCAGTCTTTAGACTGGTTCCATATCAAATTGAACCATCTGAATCTGTGTGTTTGATTTGTTGTACAATATCTGAGTTGTAATTTTCATATAGTTGAATAATAATTGCTGTATTTTATTTTTTCTATTTTTGTCTATATTTTTACTTGTATTCATTTGTTCCCCTCCCTTTTTTTTTAGCTGTATTAATACTATATAGCAGTGATGGCTAACCTTTTTGCCATCGCGTGCCAGGAGAGGGGGGGGGGGGGGGGGGGTCGCGCGCCCGCGCCCCCGCACATGTGTGCCCAACCCCCTCCCTCTCCCCCCCCCGCTCCTGGCACATGATGGCCTGGTAGGCCCGTTTTTCTTTCTTACCTGGTTCCAGATCCTCTCTGTGTATCTGGGAATGGCGAAAACAGCCTTTCCCACTCCCTTGGAGGCCCTACGGAGGCTGAAAAAGCCCATTTCCCAACTCCCGGTGGGACATGTCCCCAGCCTCCAGAACCTCTCTAGGAGTCTCTAGGAGCCTCTCTAAGAGTCTGTAGGAGCCTCCCTAGGAGTCTCTGGAGGCTGGGGACAGGAAAAAACGTCACTTCCTGTCCCACAGGGAGTGGGGAAATGGGCCCTTTGAGCCTCCATAGGGCCTCCAAGGAAGTGGAAAAGGCTGTTTTCGCCGTTCCCAGATACACAGAGAGGATCTGGAGCCAGGTAAGAAAAAAAAACGGGACTTCCTGCCCTCCAGAGGCAGGAAACAGCCTGTTTCCCTACTTCTGGTGGGCCCAGAAGGCCCGAAAATCAGCTGGCCGGCGCGCGCATGCGTCCCAGAGCTGAGCTGGCGTGCCCACTAATATGGCTCCGCGTGCCACCTGTGGCACGCGTGCCATAGGTTCGCCATCACGGCTATATAGTGTTCCAGCCCAATCCCTTTTCAAAAGCCATTCAAATTAGTTGCCATTATTACAAATGCTGGCAGCAAATGCACTAGATAAAAAAAAGTATTCTATCAGTACTGAATTTCTGCATTTAATTTCTAACAAGTGACAGGACAAAAAAACAATTTTTTTTCTGCATCATTAATGATTTTATGTAGTTGTTTGATTATCCTGCAATCACCACATAACAAATTCTTAAGACAATATTTCTCTCCCAAAAGAACAAAGTACTTTGCTTAAATGTACAGCTACATATGATAGACCTGAGCTCAACCAACTCCATTCAGGTGGCTTATTGTACTAACTCAGTCTTCCCCAACTTATTTCTTCTAGTTTTGTTCGTGGGTGATCTCCTCTAATCTTCAAACAAGAGGACCAAAATCCATGTTGGCTAAGGATTACAGAAGAAGACCATCTACAGCAGTCTTTTTAAACCTCAACATGGACTTAGTCAGTGCTAAGTATAGCCACATAGAATTCTGGGACTTGGAGACCACATCTCTGGAAGTTGCCAAATTAAGAAACACTAATCTACAAAGACATTACTTGTTTAATCTATTTGGAGACCATCAATTAAATTAGGGATAGACACAATCCCAATGTTCTCAATTGCAACACAGTATCCAACATCTGAAGGCCCACACATTGTCTCCCTCTAAATTAAACCAAGCAATTTTTCATACCTACTACAAGCTTTAACATATATAAACAATTAATTACATAATAAATAATTCCTGAACGGGACTCTTCCAAATTTCAAGAGAGGGATTTTAATGATACATATTGTTAGGGAATGGCTATTGCCTAACTGGTTGGGTTGGCTATATATATAAACCAGCAATGCATGTTTGCAGTCAAAATGTAACGTATAGCTTTAAGACTGTAATGCTGTATTGCATCATACTGTATTCTGATTGGCTAAGCTCTGTAGCCAACGTACTTAAGAGGAAGCTTGAATCATGGCTTGTTGTTCTTATTACATTATTATTGCTACCTCTGCTCCTCTCTGCCTGTTCTCTCTGCAGGATCATTGCTTGATCATTGCTACTTGTTGTTTTACTGATTGTTTTACTGCTGTACTTGTTCCTGTTTGCAACTCCAAAAAGAACTGTTTTATTGCATATGACTACAACAACTGGTAAGAAGACTTTGTTCTTGGAATATCCCTGGATTGACAATTTAACTATCTTTATCTGTGTATGACCTGGATTGTTTATTGGACTTTGCTTTACTTTTTCCTAAAAGTAAAAGAATATCACAACTCAGTGTGTCTGTGTATTGACAGTGCTTAGTCACAATCACTTTCAGCCGTTTTCTCATGTGCACACCCTTGCTACTCAAGGGTTACTCTGCGCATATTCCTTAACACATATAATTCTAACAGCTCCCTACAATTCTTACTTTCTTAGGACAGAACTAGGCTCTTCCCATTCTTTAATATGTCTCTTTCAAACTTCATTTTCTCCTTTATATCCAAGACTTGTCATCTCATTTACAGAAAAAAGCCAGCCAGGTTTTAATTATCTAAGCCTGAAAACTGCCAAAATAAGTGTAAAGATAAATGCATGTCATTTTTTTAACAGTGGAAAAACAAGTTATAACAACCATCATTTTGAAGACACTCCCTGTTTTCTCAAACAGGGCAGAATCACTCCAAGACACTGTCTATTTTAACCAGTTCTTTCATCTATATTAACAAGTATATTGCACAACGTATTTCTGGAAGCAATTCAAAGTGCCAGTTTTGATTTTAAAAGCATGCTATCAACAGGACTAGCTCCTCCAGCCTGAGTCAACCTGTCCAAGGCAATTCTCTTGGGTTAAGCCGCAGGTGATTCCCCCATTTTTCTGACATGACGAAGGCTGAAGTCAGAAAACCATATTTTTCCTGTGATTTACTTATTTTGTGGAACAGCCAATTGTGGTTTTCCAGAACTGAATCCTTGGCGTCTTTCATTTTGTACAGTATATTTATAATGTATATTATACAGTATATTTATTTTTGTTGCTGATTTGCTTAGAATACACGATTATTTTACTTAATTTGTTAGATTTATTTATTTTTGTTAGATGTATATCCTACCTTTCCTACAGGAGTTGAAACCACTATACATAATGCTTTCCTCTTCCATTTTATTTCTCAACAATTATTCTGTGGACTGAGAGAATGACTGGGCTAAAGACACTTAATTCTATTATGTCTGTTTTTCATTGCTGTAAACCACCAGGAGTCTAAAAGGATTTACAGTAATAAAGAAATCTAATTAAAAAAATAAAGTGAGGATACAATTTGAGTAAACCCACGAGTCTATTAAAGGTGGCACTCTAAATGCTTCTTCTAAAATTTTGGGAGCCCTTTCCCTACTGCCAGGATATGTCAACTGGTTGCTTAGCAACCATTTGAAGTTATAATGGACCCTCCCACTGCAAAGATACTTAAAACCAGAATTCAAAGTTCTGATGGCCACACACACACATCATATGTCCACATTTTGAATGCTACGCAACCTGCTTGCATTTATGGTCATTTGCAACCATGGTCTGGTGACTGCAATTTATAACATTTTTGCCAGAAACCAGTGTTCCCTTCTGGTTTCTGGCAAAAAAAAAAATGGCCACAACGAACAACTCAACAACTGCCAAAAAAAAAAAAAAAAGTAGCATAAAATTGGGTGTGGTCACGTGAAGACCCACTTAATGACCATCATGATCAACAATTCTAATTGCAGGCTCAATCACTGTAATAAATTGAGGACTACTTGCAACAAACTTGGTCACCTGTAGAATATGCTTAACAATGTACCTTTTAAAGAAGGAAATCTTTTTTCAAATATTGGGAGACCTGTTTAAATTTATTTGGCTGTACAGATTGCTGTTGTTAACTTACTTTTTCATTCCATGCCCAAAGTCCAATTCCAAGAAATGCTATGCCCAGGAA